ACGATGTATCTAATTTTGTTGTGTGAACTGGAAAGCTAGGAAGAACTGAACAGATGTTTTGACCCGGTTGGTTCTCATCAGCAGTACAAACCCATCGACTCCGGTGTATAATATAAAGAGGTAAACCGTTCAGTCACACTTACGGTTCTTAATTGAGCTATTTTTATTATATACCCTGCGACTTTTCGGAGTTAAATGCAACCTTCTATGCACTTCTCACTCTTTCTTTATTTTTAACCCTGCGATCGCAGAGTGTGTTATTCATTTAATTCCATATCTTCAAAATTAGAAACTGATTGTTCAAATTATCAAATCTGAAAATAATCTTTTCCGAGGATCAATCTATCAGAAATATTCTATAACCACATGCTACCCTTTTACTACGGACGTTAAAAATAACGTCAGATTTGGTGTCTCCCTATCCAGTTACTTAATGTAGTAAAAGCCTTACTGTTCCTTTTGGTGATTCTCATAGAGAAAATTGAACTGAAACAATATGTTCTAGACATTTCTTGAATCCATATCTATCTAATGGTTAGCATGAACTGACTTAATTTGTGATAAATTTAATCAGTTTAAATCTCAAAACATTCCCTTTTGTATCCGAATTCGGTGCAAATCGATCCGTTGCTTGAACTACCACTCGTGGAGATAATCTATAAATTCATTCACATATCCCAAATGAGTTTCATGAGTGAGGCCATCCTGAGAGCAGATAACAATTGTCGAGCAATTACACGCAGATTTTATTTAGTTGTGTTTTGGCAAGCAACTATAAATGAACCAACACAGACCATTCACATTCACATTGTGAATGTACTTTCCGCACCACCACCACCCTTGTTTGCATGCTGTGGTTATGCTAAACAATACCCCCTTAAGAAATGGTCATTTGTTGACGTGCGGAAAAGTCGGCCTTTTTGGGTTTATGTTTATTCAAGACGCCATCAAGCAATCCATTTTGGAGTCCAACAACATTCTTCCAAGAGACTCTTAACCCGTAGACAAAAATTGAATTGTTGGCTCAATTTTTCTAAGCTGCCTGAAAGCCCTACAATACTCTAAACAATATTTCCGAATTCATGTGTTCGCCTTACTTCTCTGGTTTGAAGGTATGAGTGTGCGCCTTCTATGAACGTTGAATTACGCTAACTTTGAACATAAATAAGTTAACATGTTTCCAAGGGGGTACCTGATCATGGAATTTACCGTCGGTTTGCTGGATTAATTGAGTTCGGATATCAACGATGTGGGTTGTCATTTATTTTGTGTGCGGTGGTACCTGTTTTATGGGTCTGAGGGACGAAAAGTAAGAAACAAAGTTACCGGAATCAATCTGTTCTGTTAAGAAAACGAACGTCTTCTTCGACCACGCAACGAATGAACCCGTCTCAGGTGTGAAAGTACCAATTCGCAATGGAATCCAATTTGCCAGTGCGTGGATGTTTGAGTATATGTGAAACGTGAACTCCTTAGGTACTGATTTGTGTGTGAAGATGAGCGTTTGTTTTGTGTCCAGCTTAGCTTGATAAACAAATATTGGGAACAGGGATCTTAAAAGTTTCCACTAAAATCATCATTTTCTATGACAGCCTTGAAGGAAGTGCCACGCAATTTCCAAAATGTCTATCAATCTCTTTGTAATTTATTACTTTGAAAATATGTAAGATAATTTGAACGCGTTTTACGATCGAATGATAAGCGCAGTGGGTACGTTTTTTGCCGACGTGTATCACATAAAGTAGCATTTCCATACAAAAACATAATATTGATTTATTTGCTGATAAGTAGACGCCACGCGGTTTACATTTCCCTTGTTGCCATGGCAACAGATTTTCCTTTCGAGTCGTTATCAAGACTAAGGTATATTCTGTTCAAAAAGGATTCTGTGAAATTCAATTTTTCGAGCATTTCTGAGACCTAAAATATATGGTTTATTGAAACTTTCCATTGTTTTATTTGAGAAAAAAACACGAAAGAACGAGCAAGATTACTTTTGGTAACCTTAACCTCAGGTTATTACAGTGAAACAAATATGGAAAAACTAATTTCACTTTTACATAATGTTTTGGATGGGAGTGAATTTGATGTGAAAATAATCTTATTTTACAAAAATCTTATTCCCATAGCGACATTATACATCCCGTTGTATTTCACAATACCTTGGACACACTCACCACGCTGTACTGGAGGAAGTTTCATTTTGTCCAATTAGATAACGTCAAAGTACGGTTAACTTTGGTGAATGTTTTGTGAAATGGTGCGGAAGAGAATGCAAAATTTGAGTTTTATGCCTAGACTGAATAATTTGTCGATAATCTGCGATTGTATTTGAAAAGAGTTGATTAAATAACAAAGAGAGGGAGAGGAACAACGGTTGAAATAGATCAGACGGAGATCACCAAAACGTTCAAGTTTTGCTTTGGTTATGTTGGCCTCACTGTTCCATTATGCAGAAACCATAAAACACGAGAATCGGGCTACTACATAAACAAAATGCACGATTTCGCCATGTGGATAAACAAAAAGATTAAAAAGCAAGGACGAATTACCGAGTGAGTGATCGTCAGCATATCATTTGAAAAACAGATTTGTCTTCGTCGGCTCATCGAACAACTAGTACAAGACGTTTTTACCAAAATGGATAGATGGGGTCAAATCAGTGAGAAAAACGTTAACCCTATCAAATTTACTAGATGTTACCATTATAACTGACATTATTTATTAACGGAGTTAATGAGGGGACGTCTGATGATGGTTGCCAAAGACAGCACCGTCATTCTATCGTAAATGAATGGCCGTGGTAATTCCAACGTCCACTCCGACCGCTTCTGTGCAAAAGGTGTAGGGGCTGAGAAGGCAGATGGCAATTACTTCGGGTGTACTTGACCGTCTTAAAGTAGCATGATCCAATCTAATTGAATCACAGACTGTGAAGAATCGGAACAAAGACGATTATGAATCACCTGAATGCAGTTTAATCACACCGTGAATTTGAACGAGGTTCTCCGCTCCCTTAACTACACAGCTGATTAATTACAACTTTTCTTGTATTAGGCGGTCGATGATGAGCTAATGACCAGCGTGTTTGGTAACCTATGTTATTACAACCCCAAAGAAGAACGATTCAACTAGTCTGCGTTGAAGAGTCAGATCATATTTATAGTAGTTCATTTATAGTTCATATTTATAGTACAAGTTTCGATAACTTCTAAGCCAAGCTCTGATAGAAAGCGAATAACTGTTGATTTCCGATTGCATGAACAAAAGACAAAAATACCACGAGTGAATTATATCGGTTTTAAAGATGCTGTATACAAGATGCCTTGATTCATTTCCCGTCTACGCGATTCGCTACTCGTGGTTATGAATATTTTGAAATCTCAAACAATTCTGTTTGCTTGTGCGAATTTTATAAAGTTATATAATTCCGTTAAATGAGTCACAGATAAGAGCAATGTGTCGTTTCCTATCGTGTTTCAGAGGAGTCTCATCAGTTTTTGTAATCCCCATGGAAAATATTCCATCACTACACAGTTCACTCATCCATCTTTTGTCGTCCCTTTCCGGAACTGGCAACAGTGCCCCGCCTCCCCCTCCGTCCATGTATGGACTTGTCAATGTTTTGTCATGAACTCATTTATCTTCGATTTTCCCGCATACGCATGAATCGTCCCGTTGTTCAAAACCACTTGTACTGACTGTGTTACTGTTACAACCGTCAATTGTGTAGATCACTTTGGTTTTCACGCGAGAACAGGTATTGAGCTATATGATCTAGTGTGCCTTGAGAACCTGTTACAGCAGTGAATTCAGCCGTTCCATAGATGCGGCTAAAACAGAGCTGAAACTCAGGATGTATTGATTTTTTTTCTATGCAATGTTCACTCTTTCCCCAAATTCTCCAAACATACTCTTCGACGTTAGCAAATATTTAGGGGTTATTGATGTACCCAAAATGATAAAGTGTTGAATTTTTCTCTTAAGTTCCAACTTTTAATTGTCTGTCAAATGCTCTCCTGTCTGGTCATACAACGAGGGAGTAACAGTTTCCAGTGCATTTTCACACCTTTTTGGGTTTGAGATATAAAGCACATTTTAGTTAACATTCGTATCCTGTCGGATACACTTAGTCTATTCATGGACAGAGGTCGTATTGGTTTATTCAGTGTTGCTAAATGATGTGAAGTTTAACTTGGTGGCTTTTGTCAGCTGGTGTTGGCAGTCCTTCCGTGCTATTCTAGTTTGAGTGCAAACCTCTTCATTGTCACTGTGCAATTCCGTTTCCAATTTGGTGGCCTTCCAATGACTGCAACCACCTTGAATGTGGGTTTCGTTGTTATTGTGCATTGAATAAAAGAAAGTAATTCGACTATGACTGTTGATATAATTTTTCATCATTTAGTATTAGGCAGAAGAAAACAACAAATCTTTGTCTTGCTTCAAAGTAGAATTATCGGTCTCGCAAACCTCAAAAAGTTACTTTTTCAAACACTATTGCCTTGCCTTTTGCGAACTTCTTTCACTCCGGATAGTTTGCACGAGATTTTCGATGCAGTTTTGCCTTAGACAATTTCCGGAGGACTGCTTCGCAGTAAAACTACTGTTCAGTTTCACTTCCATGTTGCTACGGAACCCAATTCATTAACTAATGTTGGGATTTGACCAGCAGTTTTATTGTTTTGTGCTAACTGTGCTCTCACAGCTGGTATAAAGCATTGAACACTACCGTTTTACCTGACTGTTCATTTGTATTCCCGGCGGAATGCATCAATCCCCATGATGACTAACATGGTAAACAAAATTCATTTTTCCACAGGCAGTAATCGGTGGAAAGTTTATGATCGCATTCTACTTTAAGAAAAATCAAGCAAATATTGGTTTGAGAATAAAAAGGATATTACCGAAATAGGAATTTGTTTGCTTCCATGTTTTGCTTGCCTGGGAAAGTTCCCATTGTTCTTATTTTGATGCACATGTATTCTCACTCTCCCCTGTAGGTGTGATTCGATCGCGAATTTCACTGGAGCATTATTCAGCTCATCGGTTCACAATCAATGTGACCGGATTCGATTGTCACGTGCCGGTCCGGCGTCGGTCGACCGTTCGTGTCAATGTGCATGTGCGACCNGACCAAGTTGCACAATCGAATGGGAAGGTAAGTAGTTCCAAACCACAGATTGGGTTGGGGACAAAGTACACAATGCACAATGAATGATCCTTGTCGACTAACCAGGGGTTTTGAAAACAAATTCTCATTTATACGGGTATGATAGATACCTTGTGAAAATCTATCGGCTTGGTCAAACATCAGTCATGTGAAATTGACGCATTCCTGCGCCACTGAAAGTCCTTGGCAATACTGCACAGCTCCCTCCTTAGCTGAAATCTAATTCGCAATCAACACTCGCCGAATCACGCTCCGTAGGTGCCAATATCTTGTTCTAATGTAAATGTAAGACACTGCTTAATTAAATCCCGTATACGCAACGCAAGTGATGAGTGACCTATGTGAAATGCGGTAGTGCTAACGGCCCTTCCCGCCCTAAATTCAAGTCCCATTGGAAGAAAGATTCAAGTGGGTTAAATATGATGCACTGTTCTCTTGATCTCTTTTTTGATCATTCATTGCCAACTTCTTTCACGTCGATAATAATTGAAATGATGCTCGTCTGTCCATCAAGTCCAATTTGGAACACTACGTTTCCGATATCATGTCTAACTCCGAATGATCCTCAATTAATTTGAAGTAGCTCTGTATTACTTCCAAGTCAAAGATGCATGACTAACACGCTACCATGAACAAAATACATTTTCCGAAAACCGCTTCACATAAAAATCTCCATATTAGGTGAAAATATCTAACTTAGTCATAATTGGATCCTACTAAGGAGAGAGATATCGATGTATTTTTCGTTATCTGCTCGGTTATTTCAGCGACAATGTCTAACGGGTTTTTATATTATGTGATCCTGGTGTGAACTAGCTTGGTGAGTGTCAGTACAAATATCTCAAGTGGTTAGTGCGATCACTTAATGATCCTTTGACTCGGGCAAGAATTTCAATGGCATTAGCGGATGTGTACATATTGTTGTTTCTAAGAGGGATGGAGTATCGGTGGAATGTTCTTCCAAAGTAAGAGTCATGTCGCTTCCGCATTTTCAGAAACGCATTTGGCAAATTGCATCATAATGATCTAATGATGTCATTCAACTTTCACTAAAAATAACAAAGCTATATAATGAAGCATTTACTTTATTCTTCGAAATAAAGTCATGAAAATTGAGCAACACAGTTTTGTAACGTTTAACCTGTAAAAACCTGTACGTTTTCATATTAAACATATATTGTGAATGCCGTTGATTGTTCCTTCAATTTGATAGGTCTATTTCCTCTGTACATAACGAACTACTTTCATCAACGCTGATTCGCTGAATATTCAACACAACTGAGATTGTAAATGAATTAAAAAGCATTCCATCATTATTGTTCAACTGGAATCCATTTTTGAGGGCAGGCAAAAACTGAGGGCATCTTTGTTAGGTGACAAATTCTTTGCAATGTGCTTACCGCACCATTCGTAACATTTGAAATCTTTGTCCTGATGAAAAACTGCGTTATCTGACCGGCCTAGCTCAACAGACGATTCACTCAAATGGAGGAAATACACAAACTACAGTGGTAGTTTCTGATGATGACCACTGTTGTGTCCCGTTCAAGTAGATGGGCTTAGACACCAGGTGCCATACACCTATACACCCCAGCTGATCGTTGTCAGTTATTGTTAAACGTGCTCTTTGTTCTGCTCATGTTGTCTGTTTTATCGCTGCTTTGATGCAATCACCTCAACCCTTCTCATTTCTCTATTGACAATGGAAATATCACACGCACAGCAACTGCATTTTTCTCCTTGTAAGAGTTTATTGGCGGTTATTTTCATCACCATTTCCATTTGTATGCAGCAAAGGGCTTGTTCGTAAGCTATTTCATTATGCAACGAATTCAAAGCACACTGGTTGAGAAAACGATAGACAAGCGAGGCATAGAACTGTTTGATATTCAATCTGAAATTCGCTATCTTTTGTGTCCTAATATGGAACGAAATGTACCAAAATAGCAAAGTGGATTGATACTGGTCCATGTAACGATCGCAAATCATAAGTAAGCAGTGAAAATGGAGGAACTAATGCACCCACTTGTGTGAAGCTGGATGAGACGTTTTAGATGACGATGCTGTTATATCACAGGTGGATAGAAGCCTATTACTTTGCGAGGATGAAGGGAAGGGAGAGGAAATGATTGATCACACCAAGCGTGGGATGAATAACGGATAAAAACGGTATCGGAGACAGACGGGAAAGTACATATATCATATCATGAATTTGTGTGACACATAACATCTTAATTTGAGGATCGGTTAAATAGAATTCAATTTCGCGTAGTCCGAAAACGATTGACAAAACCCAAGATAGTGTATTGGCCAGTGGGTAGCATTTGAAGCCGAATTAAGAGTTCAGATCACTGGGAAGAAAATATGTGATTAGTCCGGTTGAGGGGGGGGGGAGCAAATTGCATTCAGTTTGAAAAAGTTTCTCAAGATGATGCTCATAATGTCCTCAATGATTAAATTCACGGACTCTGTGCGTTTGTTTCTGGGGTCGCATCACACGATCCCACTACGGGTCCACGCTACTACTCTGCAGTATGTTGTATATGAGATTGCAAAGAAGTAAAAAATTCACTTGGAAAAATCAAACTCGTGGACGAAAGTCAAATGAATCTGAGAGAGAGGTATGAGATAATATTATTAACATGAGCCCGAAAGCTGGCTTACTAAATGAAGCGATGAAGCGAGGTTGAAAACGAAAATCGCCAAGATATCAACTTAATTTTTAAACGATATAAACAACTGCTCTACTCCAGATTGTTTTTCATCAAGGATTTCCTTACTTATTTGTGATGAAATAGGTATTTTTAAAAATAAGTGTGGTTTTATTGGTATTGCTTATTCGGGCTTCTCGTTTTCCATAAAATTCTTGACAAAATTTTCATTATTCCTTACTCTGTGTTGTTCCATTATCCATAAAATTCATTAAACATATCATTTTTGCGGTTTTGCACTCCATCTGTTAGTTTATTGATCGGTATTTGTTGTGTTGAACACGAGACTGGTACTGGTTTTGCTCTGTTTTCTCACTCACTCTGCAATACTGATTCCGGTCCAATTCCCTTTATTCTTCCGAAGTTCACCCATAGGTTTCTCAAAGTTTGGAATAATTCAACTTCTATTTAGTTTGATCAAATGCAGTATAGAAGTTTGTCAAGAAAGAATTTTTGTACGGCGGATTTCCACCTTAAATCACCGGCTTCTCAAACAGTATCAGACGTCTGTTTTAATCAGTGGGACTAAAAAAAAGCGGCAATCATGCATGGGCTGAAGTGAAGCGAATGAGGTGGTTCAATGCACGCTCATTCTGAAGCGCTTGGCTATCTTAACCCGGTTGTGGTTTGTTCGATTGTTTGAACAATCGTTCATCATGTATCTATATTGCACGAAATTCAACCACATTTATATATTGCACCAGATACGGTGTGCTGTGTTTCACACCAAAACTGCGTAACTATAAATTGAGTCACTTACATATGAGATTTATCGATTTTCATGCTGTGCAAATATGCGCCCATTGGCATAGCAATTGCTTTGCCAGTGAGTTGGCTAACCGGTCCGGAAAGTTGGAAAAAACAGTAGGAATTTGATGCTCTATTTGGATTTGATTCATAATCACCCCGAGAACTTTCGATCCATCAAAAATTCAACTTTGTTGTGATGAGCTAATCTCATACAACAAAAATCGATACCCATTTCTGTTTTCGATAGTACAAACAAACAAACAAAAAATCATATTCGAATACTGAACAGGGGTGCTTTGGTTTATTCGTGTCCTATTCTCCACCTCATTGAACCAATTGAGTTTACGCGAATAATTCAAGAAGCAGAAGGCCCAGTTATATCGTAGGAATGGAGATTATTTTACATAATTTACCGGATATTATATGCTAATTCATACAGCAACTCCAACATTGCGATCGTTAACCTGCTAAACATATTCCTTGCCCAAAACTAAGGAAATCGTCAATTTGCGTAAATAACCTGTACTGCACACTCGTTCTCTTGACCATCAAAATGCGCTCTGTTAGCTTACGCTATCGCATGAGAAAAACACCTATCCGACGGTTGAAACCTTACGGAATCAAGGATTATACCAAATGTATATTCCTAACCTAACCTTGAATCACACGGTCAGCGACCATCAGAGAAATGAGTGAAGTTGGCCTCCTTCCGGCGACCAATTTTACTATCAAAAACGTTAGAGTAAACCTAAAAGTATTATTAAGATTGGTCAGTTGACTTTTTGCAATTTGTTGCAATATTACTTTCACGAATATACACTTGTGTTGAAGTCAGAACAAGAAACGGTGAAATGGTTAACGTACCAAAGCGGAACTACGATTCGAGTTTAGGTTCCTGATGGTGATGTCCATATTTTTATCACCCACATTGAAGTTGTTTTATGAAACTCAAATTAGCCAACCAGGTGCCAGCATAAATCAGATATCATTATGCCTCTTTTAATTGGGGCAAGATAGAGCCAAGCACGAAGTGCAAAACCAGTTACGATGATTATTTCAACTGTTGACGGTGGAGACAAAAAGTACAAGACATTGGATCAGTGAGATTTATAGCTCGGTGAGGGGTGAAGAGCGAACGTCAAATAGCTAGGTGTAGCTGAATTTCGATGAGTAGACTATCAATGAAAACTGGGTCAATACCACTGGTAATCGAAGGCTGAAAGAAATTGCAGGGAAATATTTGCAAGAAAAGTTATTTGCGGGCATACGAATATCTGAAATCGTGAGCTTGGCGAGATTATTTGCTCGGTGCTTGGATGAAACTCTTGAGGTGTGATGCTCATTTGTGGTGCGTGATGACTGCACCCAAATATCTGATTAAATTCACTACTAATAGTTGTTTCACAGCTTATTTGGTACTAAAATATATAAACTGCCCTATTGTTTCAAGCAAGATTATTTTGTTTATCGCTTCTATCAGTCACTTGAAGCACGCTTATCCTAATAATGATCGTAGTTGTAAACAACCCACTTAAATAATATGGGATCTAGCGTAATTTTCTTGGTTTTCTAAAACAGAAATTTGGAGCTGTAGATTCTTACTTTGTAATTGTGAGTGGTATTTTTTCCCAAGCCAACGAAGTCCTCCCAAGTGAACGCGCTTAGCAACATATTTGGGGTTATTCTTGGCCTAAAACATTTACAAAATAAATGTTCACGCATTGCACAAGGATTTATCACAATTGCACACTCATTCATCCAGCAGATCACAATTTGAGCACTTTTCCCGGAAATAAACCGCTATAAACCTTGCTGGTTATCAATCTGGTTCCTATTCCGATAAACACAAACAACCTAAACAATGAATACTCACTCAATTCAAGCATAGTTTAAATGCCCCTCATTTCAGACTTTACCAAGTATTAATTGCTATCTCCTCCAACAACCTGTCTAACTGTAATACAGGTAAATACAAGTAGAAATTCCCAAAAATGGTTCAGAGATATTGCAGACTCCGCATGTGTTTAAGAAATCTAAAGGCTAATCATCCTCAATTTAATGAAGATAAGATGAAAATAAATGCAAGGTGAACCGCCTAGTACATTGATTAGAACCTGTCTACCTTCAGTATACCTTTTTGCGGGATTGTTTTACTCTGACATCGGAATCTACCAAGGAAACATCTGTGCAATTTTGGAGTCCTTCCTGTTAGTTTCAGTCACCTTTCTACTCATTCTCAGCTCATAGTCGTTTTCACACTACTACCAGCACAAAAGTATCGCATCACGCAATGTTTTACCGTCACGCAAGTCGATTTGGTTCGACTGGATGGTGATTGTAATCAGCTCCAATGTTTCCCACATGACTAAACGCTTTTTCGCAAACCTCTTCTGGCATTGTAGGGAGATAGGTAGTGCTGCTTTGATTTGATTCAGTATAAAAACACAATGCTTGGGATCTTAGATTTATTCTTTTCGGAGTTTGCGGAGGCATCGACCGGCCCGTCATTATTGTCGGTAATATCATGAATAAACTGCACTATTTTAAACCATGTTAGAGAAGAAGATTGAGTACCGTGTGAAGGCAATCCAAACACACACAAACAAAAGCGCTTCAAAGGGCTGAGCATCACCGACAGGAAGCGTGCATCAAACAAAACGGGCAAAGGTGGCACGGAGCTTTTTAGTTTGCTTCCAACGTAAACCTTATTGTGAATTCGTATTTCACATAAATTCTGCTAGCGTATCAGCAATTATTGTGACAGAAGAGGGTGATATTTTCTCTGTGATATAGGTGAAATGCTAGAAATTACAGGTGGAACTCTATCTGATGAATACGTAACCTCTTCAAGGATTCAGACCAGTTAGCAATAGCCTACGTCACCACCGTCTTTTATACTATTCGCTGTTTATTCCAACCTCAGTCACAGCTATACACATTCCCGCGTGTGGGCACAAAAACACATATGCTTTGCTATGCCAATTGTCAGTAATTATCAATCATGTTCTCTCTGGGTCTCTCCTCTGACAAAGCAATAGTGCGGACTTACACCTTATAGCCTGATAATGCTTATTATACAGTTGCTTGTCACCGACCATATTGATCTGGTTTCGTTGTCTGCCAGAGTGTGTCATGAGGACGTTTTGTCTTAAGGGATCTTATTGAACAAGTGACGGTCAACAGCGTTTTGAATCTGCCCTGCCAAATGTACCACAAAGCACCACGCGTATTAGGTATGCAGCTAACCTCTTTTAGACCATGCTATAATTTAGCTTGTTTTAACATGCTTATAACTGGAATCAAACAGATCTTATCTCAATTCAGTGTTTGATGTTCATATTTGATGGGGCAGACCAGCCCATTACTACTTGACGAAACCATCGTTCCACGAGTTTGTAGGTTAATCATGGGAACGAGTTACTTTTATGCCAAATGGAAATTAACAAGCATTTTCTTTTCACGCTTTTCATTTGTATTTACTTTGCTTACGGATATAAGGTGACCAGTTTATTACGTGATGTAAACATGGTCATAACCCTGTGGTTAGTGAGAAGATGAGCCGGTTTCAAAGATGCGTTGTCGTATATCTGATTCGGGCAGAATTCAAAATGGCCTGTATATCTACCCGCTGTTCAGATTAGTTTGCTTGTTCTATCATTTAAGTTTCGCGTTAGATCCACCGTTGCATCTAAGGATTCCCACCGATACTTAGACTCAGTTATGTCGAAAACGCTAAACAATAGTTTTTTTTTCGAATCAACTCCATGACTCCTCGCAGGTAGAGTGTGTTCTTTGTCGATAACAGTCCAGGAATGGAACTCATGGTCGGATCTACATGCTTTCCTCTTCTCTCCATTTGAATATACGAACTGACTCTTAGGGACAGTTTAGTACCGACAACTGGGGCATCAATTTATTATTCCCTGTATCGCCACTTTATGCAAAACACGTAGTCCTCTGTCGAGATTTTGTATCCTTTTCACGTCCACTGTTCAAACAGCCTCCAAAATGGAAACACCAAGGTATAAGCTGATTAGCTATTTCATTCAGATGTTGACTGATATAATTTTACCTTATTAAAATAATATCATGACTTGATGAGCACATTTATTACCGGTGCCAAAATTGGTTAGACTAGTTGACGTATATACTCCATAGATGAAAGCAATCAACCATAAACAAAAGAAAAAAACAACCACTGTTTTACTTTCCTGTTTGTGTTACAACAGGCGTTCAACCCGAACTGGTCTATACCGCTTTGCCTCGAGCGCACTGGGTTTCACCCAACGCCACTTTAAAGACATGCGACAACCAACCAGTGGGTGAATCCGCGACCGTCTGCAAGCCAACGGAAGCCACACTCCGCGTGAAGCTATTATGGAGTGGAGATGACGATGATGATGTCGATGAGGGTAAGGAAGATAGTGTGGATTCCGATGATAGTGCGGAAGATGGAGACCCCAATTATTCACTATCCGATACGGATTCATCGTCTGTGTGCGATTTCGATCGTCTCTCAGTCCGAGCACATTCACAATCTTGCGGTAAGTGCTTATCATTTCTATAGTCTCCATTTAACAATTCCGGCGTTCACCGGAATCATGAATTAAACTGAAAACGTGACTGTATGACAATAATCTTGTGACATCGAGCATAACAGCGCCACGAAATCCTCATATACTGAGAAACAGCTTCCATTGAAAGATAAGCAGGTTGAAACATCCTTATGAAGTGAGTACTTTAATATACTTACATGTCTGTCTGATATCAGAAGTAAATTTTAGTAAAATTCCTAGGTTTACCCAGAGCGGAAATACACTGCTGCAATACACGTTTAGAGTAAGCCTCTTTGTTGTTTCTTCTTGTCGTAAGAAGAGTCCTTTGTACACTCCACAAACCAAACCCTCGCCAAATGGCAGTCGGCTCTGTTCAACTGCTCACTTTTGAATTTGTTACAGTTACACATGAAGTTACGCGTTAATCTGACATCTGTTTGCAGTGGTCTTGATGGCTTTCTCGTACAAAATTGCATCGAGAAATGAGGCAACCGTGTAAAATTATTATATTATGAATGCTAATGCTGTTAAGAAGGGATAAAATCGGTTTAAAAGTGTTTTTCATGATTGATTCATTTCGGTATTTAATATAAAATTAAGAAAAACATATCTCTCTCGTACAGCTGATTTTATTTCTTATTTTATTTTATTTCTTTTGCCTGCGTCTTGTCGATAAATTAGTTTGTGAGTTAGTCACCCAGTCGGCCTGAACTTTATTTAATTATTCGTTTGGTCAGTTAGTCAGTCTGTCTGTCTGTCTATCTGCTGTCTGTCAATCAGTTAGGCAGGCACGAAGGTGATCAGTCATTTCATCAGTTGGTATATTATCCCTCCTCACAAATTGTCGAATCGGTAACAAAAACATTCATTAGATGTGTTTGATGTATGGGTATCATGGGAAAAATGAACAACAGTTTGAGTAGGTTACTCACAGACGCAGTCCATTAGCAAGATGGAAATAAGTATTCCCTCTCTTATATGCATGTCAATGGCATTTTCCCTTGAGACAGTTATTTGCATTAAAGAAAGACAAGTTGGAAGTCATTACAAACGCATATTACAAAAAAATGCAATGGCATGCAAGTTGAGTTTGACGATACAGGAATAAACAAGAAAGTGAATAAATCAATAGAAAGATCTATAGGAAGCGAGAAGTAAGCAGTAGGCAACCCGCCGATAAAGAAAATCTGGAATGCGCGAACAATTAGCACGTATCTAGGGTTGTGTTGCACGGAGTGGCTTTTGTTATTTGTGCCCAGTTTTGTTTAGTTACACTGACTTTAGTTTATCCTAATTAATTCCTGAATTTGATTTACAGCAAAACACATGCATTAGTGTTTTGAATTTCGTTAATAATGGTGGTTAGTTACTAACGCAGAGTGATTATTGTATCCACGACTAATGAACTTTGTTCCTCTTCTCGGGACCCCTTCAATCAACAATTGGAAACCCTAAGAATCATGATTTGTGGACTGGTGAGGCAGCTCACACTATGCACATTTGATATTTTCAATGTTTAAACTTCTCGAATTAGGTTTGTTTGTTTCTTTCCCTGTAACTCTCACTCCTTGAATGCACAGATCAGTAAAATGTAAGTTAGGATGAAATATGTTCGGTGGAGTGGGATTGGTTGAATTTTTAATTTTACCCTGCAAAGCTTATTTATCTCATGACTTGTCGTTTTATCACTGTGCTATGCTGTAATTCTAAGGTCATATTGTTACTCCAATAATATCACGAACGGTTTCAGAGTAGTGATTCGGAAACGATGCTGTTGTGATTCACACAAGCGTGTTACTAAACTAGACAATTTGCCTGGTTATCTATCCAAAAATAGAAGGAAAAGTAAATATTTTTGTGACAGATGGGGTAAAGAATGCTATCGATGAAGTCACTAATTCATGATTTAGATTGGCTGCGTGTCACGAAGTGTTTTGTGTCGTAAAGTATTATGAAAATAGGTAATTTCACTTTAGGAAATGTTGATGTTTTTCAAGGAATGTTACTAAAATTTTGTTTTATTCCCCAAGACAATATTTTCCCAAGATTTAGATGCATACAGTTGTTTCTCAGGCTCAGTCACACCAACCGCGGTGAATAAGTGACAAGTAGATTTGCTGTAAATGCTGGGTTCACCAATAATTAGAAACCCTGATGTGTAAGATGAAAATTTAGTCTACTGTACAGAACGGAAAGTTTTAGTTCAGAATAATGGACTCGACAAAATGTGACAGGATGCATGCCTCTGTGTTTATTGTTTAAGAACCCATTCCAAAATAGATAGGATACCTAAAAATAAGTTTTAGTGTATTACTCGTCACAATGAATCAAAATATGTGCACGTTGAAATCTATCTTGAGCCTTATTTATGGTGAAACTACCATTTTTTCACAACCTTCCACAAACAACTCAACTGTTCATTCACCCTACGAAAATTACACGTTTCTATCTACCAATCGATTTCTCCTTGTAAACTTCCCATCTAAACATCTTCATAAAATTATACCAGTTTCATTTGAGCATAAAAAACAAAACTCTTCCCAATTTCACCCGTTTTGTTTGTCTCGAGGTGATCTGAAATCGAATTGTAAAATCCATGGTTATATGGTAATTTGAGCCAAACACAATTCTTCTTTCGAGTCATCTTGGGCAACGGTAGGACACTATGTATGCAATGAACCCATTCTCCTAATACGCATTGATCAAACATTCCAATATCAATTTAAAATAGCTCTGAATATTCCTACCTATTGGAAGTTGCCTGTATGCTCACGACAATTTAGCCGGAAACAAGTCTACTCACAGAAGGTTTCACTATTTACCTAGTCGTTTCAAGCAAACGATCACATTTTTAACGTATCGTTCATGAACAATCTCTATAACTGACACAAGAAATGATGCCCTTATTTGGTCTGGGCAACATGCATATATCTTCAGATTTCCAATGCTTGCGCCGATGCTCAATTTCACTCTTTTAGTCATAATAAATCATCCCAAACAGTGGTGCTTTGCACGCAGTGACACTCCATCTGTACCGTTTTGTGTTTCTTCATCAGTGGTATTTGATAGGTTATCACTCGTCGATTAAAGTCCCATGTGCACATCTTGAAAGTCACCTCCGGTACCGCTCGTAGTCCGCTTCTATCTCGCGGATTTAAATCTAATACTCTGCTCTAAATAGGACATTCAATTTGATTTACCTCAGTGTTTTCTGCTTCATGAACTGCCCACCAATCAGTAGTCTTTTGTGAGCCTAAGTTAACTGGTTCAAATGTGTCTACCTATTTCGACTTCAATGGTACAATCATATTATTGTTTCTTTTGTTCTATGATCTCCTGTGCACCTTGGCGCTTATTCGACCGGGATTTTCCTCTGTTCAAATTTTCTCTCATTGAACCTCGAATACAAAGTGGATAGACAAGATTCTAAGGTCGGTGGTAGAGGAGGAGATTCTCCATCACCTGTAAGGTTCACTTGTTGATCGATGCCTGTCGGCAAACAACGAAGCCTGAAGTGAACCGGCCAGAACTATTAAACCAGTGGTATTTTCTTAATTGATTTAGAATATCCAACTTTTGTAA